TGGGCAGTTTAGGAGAGGGGCAGCAGAGGTTTGGGGTGTTTATTTTAGGGGGGATTTGAGGTGTTTGAGGCTCTGCCCTGAAGGAGCAGAAGAAAAATTTGGGGGGGATTTGGGGTGTTTGGGGCTGTGCCCTGAATGAGCAGGGAAGAGTTTTGGGGTGTTTGTTTGAGGAGATGCGGGGTCTTTGGGACTACAGGCCCAGAGACACACACAGATGTTTGGGGGCGTTATTTGAGGGGTGTTTGGGGGTCCAGCCCTGAGCATAGAGGAGATTTGGGGTATTTGAGGAGGTTCTAGGATGTTTTGGGGCACAGCCCCAGGACACACAGAGGTTTGGGGTGCTTAAAGGGATTTGGGTGCACAACCCTGGGCACACACACGGAGATTCAGGGTGTTTATTTGGTGTTTTGTGGGGCACAGCCCCAGAGGTTTGAGGTGTTTGAGGAGGATTTAGGGAATTTATGGGCACAGCCCTGGGCACACAGAGGGAAGTTCAGGGTGATTCAGGGGGTTTTTGGGCACAGCCCTGGGCACACACACAGAGTCTCAGGCTGTTTCTTGGGGGGTTTTGGGGCTGTTTTTGGGCACAGCCTCACACAGAGGCTCGGGCTGTTTCTTGTGGGGTTTCAGGGGGCACAGCCCTGGGCACACAGAGAGAGGTTTGGGATGATTTAGGGGGTTTTTGGGCACAGCCCTGGGCAGACTCACAGAGGCTCGGGCTGTTCCTCGGGGGATTACAGGGCTGTGTGTGGGCTGTTTCTCAGGGCATTTTGGGGCTGTGTGTGGGCTGTTCCTCGGGGGTTTCAGGGCTGTGTGTGGGCTGTTCCTCGGGGGTTTCAGGGCTGTGTGTGGGCTGTTCTTTGGGGGGTTTTGGGGCTGCTCGGGGCTCACAGCGGCGCTGTCCGGCGCAGGCGGGTCGCGATGGTGAAGCTGTTCATCGGGAACCTGCCGCGGGAGGCGACGGAGCAGGAGATCCGCTCCCTGTTCGAGCAGTACGGGAAGGTGCTGGAGTGCGACATCATCAAGAACTACGGCTTCGTGCACATCGAGGACAAGACGGCGGCCGAGGACGCCATCCGCAACCTGCACCACCACAAGCTGCACGGCGTCTGCATCAACGTGGAGGCCAGCAAGAACAAGAGCAAGGCCTCCACCAAGCTGCACGTGGGCAACATCAGCCCCGCCTGCACCAACCTGGAGCTGCGCGCCAAGTTCGAGGAGTATGGCCCCGTCATCGAGTGCGACATCGTCAAGGACTACGCCTTTGTGCACATGGAGCGGGCCGAGGACGCCGTAGAGGCCATCCGGGGGCTGGACAACACCGAGTTCCAAGGTGAGGCACGGGGCTGGGTGGCGGGAGGGCTCTGGACATTCCCACCGGCCCCGTTCCGGGGTCGATCCCGGATGTGACCACGGCCGGCTCCACGGGCCGTAAAGCGCCCTCGGGGCTCTGGGGTTGGTGTCGGTTGGTGCCTGCCCCGCCACAGTTCTGGGGCCGCCCGCGCGGCGCGGCCGGAACGAGGGCAAGGGCTCGGGGGCTCTGGGCCGGGGAGGACGGGACTGACCCATCTCTGATTAACCAGCACGGCCGCCCCGCAGGAGGACCCCGACGGCGACGTCCTGTGCCGGGCCGGAGCAGCGGGTGACGCCAGGCTGCCGCCCGCCCTTGTAGCCTTGCCCAGCCTGGTAAGAGGGTGACGGAGGCGCCCGACCCCGCGCCCGGCGTCGCTCGGGCGCTTGACGGGGCCGAGCGGCCGGACTCGAGCCGCGGCGCTGGCGGCGGTGATGGCGAGCGCGTCTCCCGGCCGGGTGCTCAGGGCGGCGTCCGGCGCTTCACCCACGTGGCGGCGGGGCCGGACCGGGTGCTCCCGGTACTGCTGGGGCTCCACACGTGCTGCTGCCCCCACTCCGGGCCTTCCCCAAAAAACAGCGACCCAGCAAAGCTGGCACAGCTGCACCCAGAGCTGTCCCGGCCACGTCCGCGCTTGGCTTTGCCTCGTGCCGCGCTCGGGCCAGGCCCTGTTCGCTCCGGGGTGCTTCCTGGTGTTGCATCCCTCTTGCCGCCACTCCGGCGTTTTCCGGCGCGAACCTTTGCCGTCACACGGGGCCGGCAGTGCTGGGTCCGACCCCTGGCTGCCGGGGCTTTGCCGGGCTGGCCGGTGTGGCCACGCTCGGCTGTGGCAGCACGTTCCTGTCAGCCACTGTGCAGCGTCCATCTGGTGGCTCACGCTCGGTCCCGCGGCGGCTCCTCCCATGCCGGTGGCTGCGGAGGGCTGGGGGGGGTGGCAGCCGGTCCCGTCCTGTCCCAGCAGTGCCCCGGCACGGCCGCACTGACCCTGCCTCTCGCGTCTCTCCCCAAGGCAAGCGGATGCGCGTGCAGCTCTCCACCAGCCGCCTGCGGACGGCGCCCGGGATGGGAGACAAGAGCGGCTGCTACCGCTGCGGGAAGGAGGGGCACTGGTCTAAGGAGTGCCCGGTCGATCGCCCGGGGCAAGTGGCGGACTTTGCCGAGGCCTATAACGAGCAGTACGGAGCCGTGCGCACTCCCTACACCGCGGGCTATGGGGAGACCGTGTATTACGATGAGGCCTACGGCGGGATGGCCGACTACTACAAGCGCTACCGCGTCCGCTCCTACGCCACGGCCTCGGCGTACGACGCCTACGCGGAGCAGACCATGGCCCAGTACTCCCAGTATGCCCAGTACTCCCAGGTCCAGTCCTCAGCCATGGCCGCCACCACGGCCATGGCCGGCCGCATCCCCACCACCTTAGACGCGTACGACCGAGCGCTGCTGCCCACTCCGGGCGCGGCGGCCGCCGTCGCCGCCGCCGCCGCCACCGCCGCGGCCGCCGCCGCGTCCTCCACATATTACACCCGGGACAGGAGCCCCCTGCGCCGCACGGCCGCCGCGGCCAGCACCGTCGGAGAGGCGTACACGTACGAGCGTGGGCAGCTGTCGCCCGTCTCCTCGGTGGCCCGGGCGTCCCTCTACGACATGCAGCGCTTCGGGCGGGACCCATACGCGGACCGGGCGCGATACTCCGCCTTTTGAGCCGGAGGTGAGCGCGTTGGTGGCTCTTGGTACCGCGGGGGGACCCCGCTGCCCGTGTTCCTGGTTGTGCCAGTCGAGGTTGAGGCGGGTGACAGGTCACAGTGACACGGACAGGCCTCATGGGCGTTAAAGCCCAGCCGTGGCGAGGAGGTGCTGTGGTGAGCAGAGCGGTGCCGGTGTCACTCTCATGGCTGTAACTCATGTTCCTGCTGGGCTTGGCGCCGTCCCGGCGCAGTCCCCGCGGGGTGGGGGGTTCCCACAGAGCCCCCGGCCCGGGGGCAGCTCCTGCTCGCACGGGCTGTGCCCTGGTCCCGGCGGGCCCAGGGTCCGAGGGGCCGGAGCCCCGCCGCTGATCCACGTCAGGACTCTCTTGCTGCCAGGAAGCCGCAGCTCCCCAGGGCACCGGGGCTCGGCACGGTTCCAGATCAGCCCCGGGGGCACCTGCGCCAACTCCTCTTTTCTCTTACAGGTAAGATTTGTGCGGCTGGACGTCGGGGTCCCGTCGCACGCCGACTCGGCGCCGCGCGTCTCGGGCCGCGCCGGGTGCCACCGCCGCCGCGTGCCGCTCTCGAGCCCGTTCCTTACGGACACGCGGCTCATCCTCAGCCTGGGCAGGATTAGCTCAGCCCCTCCCCCAGCTTCCCCCGCCCCCCTGGGCAGGATTTTGCTTTTCCAGGTAGTTTTGGGTCCCCACCCCAGGCTCAGGTGTGAGCGCGCAGCCACAGCCGTCCCCCAGCGCCAGCTTTGCTTTGCTTCGCCGCCCCCTTGCTCCCCCGGAGCTTTTCCCGAGTCGTCGTTTTGTCTTTTTCTTTCCTTTATTTTTTAAGAGGGTGGATAATCCAGTGGTAGGTTCTTAGCCCAACGCTGTAGCTGACCGGAGGCAGCCGCGCCGGCTGGGGGTGAAACCCCCCCGAGTGATTTAGAGTCCCCCCGACCCCACTTTCCGGTAAAATAAACTCAAAATTTTTCACAAACGGCGCTGGCTCCACCCCCGGTTCTTTCTCTGCACTCACATCCCCCCAGAACACGGCGTGGAACCTTCTGGACTACCCGGTGCTGCCTGTGCCCTGCCTGGCTCTGCCCATGCAGACCAGAGCCCCCGGGGAGGGGCTGCTGCAAATGGGAACACCCCCAAAACAGTCCTGGGGTCCCCCAAAGGGGCACCCAGGGGTGACAGAGGGGTTTTGACCCCCAGCTCTTCCTCCTTCCATGGGTGGGTGGCAGGAGCTGCCACTTAACCTGCACAGGGCTAATTAGTCTGCAGACTGCCTTGTTTGAACCAAAGTGGTTCATATTGTCCCCAAAGTGGTTTGTTTGTCCCCAGACTGCTCCTGGCTCTTGGTGTTCACCATTTAAGGTCATTAAGCCCAGGACATGCCTTTGGCGATGCTGCCAGTTCTGCCTCACCAGCGCCAATCGGTGCCGTGGTCACCCGCGGGTGCTGCATTGTCACACTTGGGGCCAGTCCCAGGTGTGTGGCCACCCTGGAAAGGAGGAGAGAAGCGTCAGATCCTCCTGCCTGGCTATTTACCGCGGTGGTTAATGAGCCTTGGCCATCCCTCCTGTGGTGGCACAGCCGGACTGGGCTGTGACCCGTCCCCGGGGAGAGATGGGGACAGTAAGAATCTGGAGGAATGGTCACGGTGGCGACACTGCTTACCTGGCATGGCATCCACCACCCCTCAAAACTAGCTTTCCTCACCCAAAATGAGCCCTGGCACAGGTCGGTGCCGGTGTGCCGGTATTGTGGCAGGGCAGTCTGGCACTTCTGCTGCCGGCTCTGAATGCTGCTCGTTTCCAAATCCACTCCTCCGTGGTGGGAAAGCAGCCCCAGCACCGGGAGCACCATCAACCAGGGCTGGGTGATGATGGTGGCACTGGGAGGTGCCCCCAGGGGTGGGAGATGCCCCCAGGACTGGGAAAGAACCAGGCGGGAGGCATCGGGCACCGGAGCAGACCTCAGTGTTTATTTACAGTCATAAAAAACCCCCGGCACCTTGCCGGGCCTGACGCTGCAAACGGGGAATTCACCCAAAAAAATGGGACAACTCGTGGTATAAAAGAGTCTGAGCCTGCAACCATTGGCGGGTTATGAACCGGCACAGAGCGCCTCAGGGGATGAACCGTGCGGCCACTGCCAACCACAACCGCGGAACCTTCTAAAAAACTCCAACAGCAAAACCAGAAAGAATCGGCTGTAAAAGAACCGTCCGTGCCCCAGCGGGGCGGCGAGCGGGGCCGGGCCGGCTCAGAGGCGGCGCTGGTAGCCCGAGTGGATGCGGGCAGGGGGCAGGTAGTCATTGTAGCCACCCGAGTAGCGGCCGTACTCGGTGTGCGCGTCCGGCAGCCGGCGGTAGTCCAGCGGGGACTTGGTGGGCGAGCGGCGGTACGCCAGCGGCGAGTCCGCTAAGCGCCGGTAATCGGCCAGCTCGGACAGACGGCGCTCGGAGCCGTACCTGGGCGAGAGAAGAGAGGGGGATCAGCCGAGGGACACGGCACCCAGATCTGCCCCCGGCGGCGACACCGCGTCCCACCCGGGGACGCACCGTGATGGGCAAAGCCGGCGCAGGACAGGATCGGACACCGGACGCCGTGGAGGCCCCGCTGTTGTGCCACCACCTCCCCTCACCCACACCAAGCCGCGTCCCCTCCCTGGGATCTGCGCGGCGCGAGCGGAGCCGTGGCGCCCACCGCGCCGGGCAATGGCGAACCGCGCCGGTGCCACGTGGCGCCGGTCAAGCCGCGAACGGTGTGCCGGAGCCCGGCAAGCCGGCGAGCAGCGGGAGGCAGGGGCGGGGATCGGTGCCCCGCCCGGCACCGTACCTTTTAGCCAGAGAGGACGATTTTTTGTACGGGTCGTCGTAGGCGGTGCTGCGAGGCGGGGAGAGGCGGGTGCGCTCGTAGGGCGGTGCGGCGGCGGCCTGTGCCAGGCCCAGGTAGGAGCCCGCCGGCTGCCCCAGCTGGCTCGGCCCGTCGTAGGCGCTGCCCGGCTGGGCTCGGTACGCGGCCGCCAGCGCGGCGGAGGACGGCTGCTGTGCCGGGTAGGAGGCCGCCATGGCGCCGGAGGCCTGCGCCCGGTACGCGGCCGTCAGCGGGGCGGAGGCCTGCGCCTTGTAGGAGGCGGCGGCAACGGCGGCCTGGCTGCCGTAGGACGCGGCCAGCGAGGAGCCCGTCTGCGCGCCGTAGCCGGCGGGGAGCGCGGCAGCCGCGGGCTGGCTGCCGTAGGATGCGGGCAGGCCCGTGGCGGGCTGGGCGCCGTACGAGGCCGAGTGGCCCAAGGCGGGCTGGGCGCCGTACGAGGCGGACAGCGCAGGCTGGGCACCGTAGGAGGCAGAGTGGCCGGCCACAGGCTGGTAGGCAGCGGCGGCGTGACCTGCCACGGCCTGGGCGCTGTAAGAGCTGGCGTGCACCGCCACGGCCTGGGCGCTGTAGCCAGCAGAAAGCACGGCGCCAGGCTGGGCACCGTAGGAGCCGGCATGGCCATCCATGGGCTGGGCGCCGTAGGAGCCTGCGGCCAGCTGGGTGCCGTAGGATGCCACGTGCACAGCCACGGCCTGGGTGCTGTAGGAGCCGGCGGAGCCGGCGGCGGGCTGGGCGCCGTAGGCGGCGATGGCGGGCTGGGCGCTGTAGCCGGCCGAGTAGCCCGAGGCGGGCTGGGCGCCGTAGGAGGAGGCCAGGGCAGCGGACTGGACGCCGTAGGAGCTGAGGGAGTTGGCGGCCGCGGGCTGCGCGCCGTACGAAGCGGCAGCGGCGGGCTGGGCGCCGTAGGAGCCGAGGGAGTTGGCGGCAGCGGGCTGAGTGCCCGCGGCGCCCAGGGAGCCGACCGAGGGCTGGGAGCGGTAGGCACTGCCCAGCGAGGCCGAGGGCTGCGCGCGGTACGCGGCGGCCTGGCCCGTGGTGGGCTGCGGGCGGTACGCCACGCCCAGGGAGGCCGAGGGCTGGGCTCGGTACGTGGCCCCCAGTGAGGCCGAGGGCTGGGCGCGGTAGGTGGCCGGCTGCGCCGTCATGGGGAGCGTCACCGCCGCGTAGCCGGCGCGGGTGGGTGAGCGCCGCAGCGGGCTGCGGTCCCTGCCAAAGTAGGAGGGGGAGGCTGGCCGGGGCTGCGCATCGAAGGCGTCGTACTTGGCGCCGAAGCGCTGCTGGTAATCGTACAGGGAGGGGGTGGCGGCATAGCCAGCGCCCGTGGCCGAGGGGAAGGCGGCGTCAGCCGCCCGGCGCTGCTGGTCGAAGCCCTCGATCTTGGGCTGGAACTTCTCGCGGTACTCGAGGCCGATGCGTTTGGTCTTGTCGACGCCGAGGGCGGGCGGCGGCGCCTGGCCCGTGCCCTTCTTCTGCACGTTGGTGGAGAGCTCCACGTTCACCCGGCGCCCCTTCACCTCCTTCCCATTTAGGTTTTCGATGGCAACTTTAGCATCGGCTTCGTTCTCCATGTGCACAAAGGCATAGTCTGACAAAGCAGCAGAGAGAGCAGTGAGGGGAGAAAACACAACTCGTTACAGGAGCTGGCACTAACGAGCCGTGCGGCGGCAGCGGGACGGGCGCAGGACAGGCGCTGCCGGCCCCGGGACGGCGCTGCCGGCCCCGCTCGCCGGAGAAGACACGACCCCCACCATCGGCTCTGCCCCACGCTCGTTTGGTCGCGGCCCCCCCGGCATCCCCCAGCTCACAGCCTCCCCCAGCCCGCCTGGCTCCCTCCGTGCCCCCTCCCAGCCCTCCCTGGCACATGGGGACCAAGGGCCCGGGCTGGGCTGGCAGTGCCAGCAGCTGGGCTCAGGGGACGTCCTGGCAGTGAGCGGAGCAAAGCTGAGAGAACCGGCGCCAGCACAGAGAGCGGGACAGGAACGGGGGAGAAAGCGGGGACAGAGAAAGACAAGGACAGAGACGGCAACAGGGACTTAAGACAGAGAAGATGAGGGCGAAGAGGGGAGGAGGGAGGGAAGGAAGGGCCTGAGCACCCCCTGTGAGTGCCCGGCCGTGGCGAGGAGCCAGCCCCACACGGCACAACCGCAGCTCGGCAGCGCAGCGGCGTCCGAGGACAGCGAGGAGCAGGGAAGCAGGACCTGGTGGCAGCTCTGGTGGCCGCCTGTGGCTCTTGGCCCAGCAGGTCTGGGGGCTGGATGCCCCCATGGTGGTTGGGGGGTCACCCCCGTGGCACGACGGGTCCGGGGCCGGCACAGGGCAGGAGGGCAGCGACCCCGTGGCATTCCCCTGCAGTCACAGACCGAGACCTCCGGAACCACTGACAACCCACCCAAGGGCATGTGGTGCACTGGGAGCATCACTGGCCAAGCAAACCCATCCCAGACCTCTGAGCATCAGTGCCATGTCCCCCTCTCCTCTGTCCCCCCGGTGCCATCCCAGCCCCCTGGTTCCTGTCCCACATCCACATGTCCCACTCTGGAAGCCCAAAGAGGGGACGTGCCCTCCATGTCACCCCCAGCCCTGCAGCCACCACCTGGGGGTGGCCATGGCACCCCCAAACCCGAGGGGACGCGGGGCAGGTTCTGCCGGGCTGTGCTGGTGGCTGTGACCTGGGACGAGAGCAGAGGAACAATGTCCCCCTCCTGTGGGCACGCGGGCACTGTGGGGACATCACCGGGACTCCAGGGTGGGCTGAGAAGGGATGAGATGACATCAGGGCCAGGGAGAGGGAAGTGGAGTGGCAGTTGTCAGTCCATCAGTGTGACACGGGTGTCGCCTGAGCTGGGGGAGGTGGGTGACCCCACCAGGCTGTGTTGGGGGTCCGCAGTGTGAAGCCATCGAACCCCTCAGGGGTTTCACGGGGTGCTCTGTGCACTCCCAGCTCCGTGTCCGAGCGTGTCTGTGCAGGCCAGGCCATGGCCTGGGGATGGTTTGGTCACAGAGGTGGCCGCAGCGGGCAGGGGGTCACCCCCGGGGCTGGGGGTGGTGATGGCACAGAACAAAGCTGCCAGGAAGGAGGAAACGGGGGTTTTCAGGAGCGTGGGGAGCCCACCTGGTCCACTTGAGAGAGGGTGAGGAGATTAGCTAGAAAAGGAATAGTGTGGAGATTTGAGGGGGTGGGTACGGCCCCACCCGGGGTGTGGGGAGGCGCTTGCAGAGCACGAGGCCGGCTGCAGGAGGGTAACCGGGGCAGTTCGGGGTCGGGGCACCCACAGGGGCTGGCACAGCCCCAGCAGAGCCCGGGGCAGGCGATCGAAGACACGTGGCTGCCACGGTGGGGGGGGTTAAGGGGTCTGTACCGCCCACACGGGCGGGCGGAGGCGCTGCAGGAGGACGTGGCTGGCACGGGGGGGGTTACGGGAGCTCACTCGGCTCGCACGGCCCCGCTGGGGGCAGGGGGGAGGCGGCAGGAATCGCCCCCGCTCCACCGGCTCCGCGCCGGGCTCCGGGCGGCGGCGGCGCCGCAGGCGGACGGAACTCGGGTGCCGCGGAACCCCGGAACTCGGGTGCCGCGGGCCACCCGGAACTCGGGTGCCGCGGGTCTCCCGGCGGCGCGGGCCGAGCCGGGCGGCGGCGGCGGCTCCGGTACCTTTCACCACGTCGCACTCCACCACGGGGCCGTACTGCTGGAAGAGCGAGCGCAGCTCGCCGCTCGTGCACGCGGCCGACACGTTCCCCACGAAGATCTTGCAGGTGTTGGTGGGGCGCGGGCGGGACGGCTCCACCACGATGCGGCGGCCGTGCAGTTGGTGCCCGTTGAGCTGCGCGATGGCGCGCGCGGCCGCCGCCTCGTCCCGCAGGTGCACGAAGGCGAACTGCTTCATCAGGGCAACGCCCAGCACCGGCCCCGCGGCGCCCGCGAACAGCTCGCTCAGCTCCTCCGCCGTCGCCTCCTCGGGGACGTTGCCCACGAAGAGTTTGATGCCGGGACGCATCGCGGCGGGGATGGCTGCGGGGAGAGCGGCGGGGACGGGACAGGCGGCGGCGGCGGCGGCGGCTTCAAAATGGCGGCGGTTCCTGGGGGCGGCGGGGGCGGCGCAGCGCGCCTGCGTGCCGTGCGCACCGCCCCGCCTCAGCGCGCCTGCGTGCCGTGCGCACCGCCCCGCCTCAGCGCGCCTGCGTGCCGTGCGCACCGCCCCGCCTCAGCGCGCCTGCGTGCCGTGCGCACCGCCCCGCCTCTGCGTGCCGTGTGCACCGCCCTCCCTTTTCCCGCCGTGTTAGCCCCGCCCACCTCTCCTTTAACCCCGCCCCCGTTCCCCTCTGGCCACGCCCCCCCTTAAAGGAGCCGCACCGCTCGGAGCGAGGGGCGTTTATTCGGGCCCGGGGGGCTCCTACAGGTGCGGGCTGGGGGTCTCCATGGGGGTCTCCATGGGGGTCCCCGGGGAAGCCCCACGGCTGCGGTCGCGCTCCTCCCAGAGGGTGACGCCGTCGCAGGAACAGACGCGTTTGGGGTTCTGGAAGAGCCCGGCCGCCCGCGCCACCACGCCACAAGCCAGCCTGGGGACACGGGAGGGTCAGAGGGGGTGACCCCACAGAGACCCCCCCCAAAACAACCCCCCTCGAGCCCCGCAGCGCTCACCCCCGGCCCGAGTTGCCGGTGACACGGGACAGCGGGTGGGACCCCCGGCCCAGGTCGTCCTCGCCCTCGGCCACCACCACGGAGCGGCCGATGATGTCCCAGACCTGGGGAGGGGGACTTGGGGGGTCACAACCCCATAGAGACCCCCCCAAATTTAGGGACAGACCTTCCCCGGTGATGGGGCACAGCCTGGACCCCCCAGCCGGGGTCAGACCCCCCCCCCAAGCCCCCAGTTCCCACCTTCAGCTTCGAGTCCTCAATTCGGAACCGGGCGTGGCCCTCAGCATCTGCCCAGATGTTCCCCAGGTCCCCGGCGTGCTGGGGGGGAGGGGGGTCAGGAGCCCCCCGAAACTTACAGAGCACCCCCAACCCCACCGACACCCCCTGAAACCCACAGAGACTCCCCCAAACACTCCAGAGACCCCCCCCCAAATCCCCTCACTGCACCAAAAATCCCACAGAGCACCCCCTGACCCATCATTGTCCCCCCAAACTCCTCCAAGACCACCCCAGATCCTCCAGAGACCCCCCCAGATTCCTTCATTGCTTCCCCAAATCCCCTCCAAGGCCACCCTAAACCCTCCAGAAACCTCCCAAATCCACTCACTGCCCCCCAAAACCATCCCAAATCCTCCAGAGACCCCCGCAAATCCCCTCACTGCCCCCAAAACCCCTCCAAGACCCCCCCCAAATCCCCCCCCACACCCCCAGCTCACCCTGTGCTCGTCCTGGGGTCCCCCGTGGGTCTCCCCGTCGGGGTTGAAGTGGCCCCCGCAGCTGTTTTTTGGGTGGGGGGAGGATGGGATATGGGGGTGAAATTGGGGGTCCCCACCCCCTGTACCCCCCCCCACCCCTCTCACCTGTCACAGGGGTCCGAGAGGTCCCCGAATTCGTGGATGTGGAGCCCGTGGGGGCCAGGGGGGAGCCCGGTCACGGCGCCGTCCACAATGCAGCGGCCGGGGGAGAGCTGCAGGAACCGGAGCAGCCCCCGGACCCCCCCGGGACCCCCCAGCGCCGCCACCGCCGCCCCCCCGGGGGGAGCTGGGGGGGCACGTTAGGGTTTGGTACCCCCAAAACCCCCCCAGCACAAAAACAATCTCAGGGAGCCCAAAATGTCCCCCAAAACTGAGCCCAAAGCCCAGACAGAGACAGCAGAACCTCCCCAGGAGCACCCAATGCTGCTCAGGATCCCCCCAAATCCTTCTGTGACCCCCAAAACCCGATGAGATCCCACCAAAACCCTCCTGTGACCCCCCCGAAACTCTCCTGTGACCCCCCCAAATCCCTCTGTAACCCCTTCTGTGATGCCCCAAACCATCCCAGGATCCCCCAAAACCCACTGGGACCCCCCCCAAACCATCTGTGACCCCGCAAACCCCACTATAACCTCCAAAGCCCCACAAGAACCCCCCAAAATCTTCTGTGACCCCCTCAAAACCCCTCTGTGACCCCCCCCAAACCCCCCCAAAACCCCTCTCACCCTCAGGGGAGCCCCCCAAGCCCTTGAGCACACCCCCAAACCCCCAAATCCCTGATTGTGCTGAGCCACAGCAGCACCCAAACCCCACTGGGACACCCCCAAACCCTTCCAGGACCCCCCCAAACCCCCACTGACCCTCGGGGGAGCCCCCCATGCCCTTGAGCACGGCCCTGCACCCCGAATTCTCCAGCAGCTCCTGCACTCGCTCGGCTGCTGCCGTGGTCTCCACCAGCACCGACTGCTCCTGGGGCCGCAGCTCCAGCAGCTTCACCTCTGGGGGGGCACAGCGGGGCTCTAGGGGGTCCCCCAAAACCCTGGGGGTGTCCCCGGGGTCTGGGGGAGGGCCCGGGGGTCTCACCGGGAGCCGCGTCCAGCGCTGCCCGCACGGCATCGGCACAGCCCTGGCAGCTCATCTCCACCGAGAACTCCAGCTGGGGGAAAAAAAGGGGGGGGTTCGCCCCCCAAATTGGGGGGGAAGGGGGAAAAAAGGACGAAAATGAGAGAGGGAGTGTCGGAAGATCGAGAAATGGGGGGTGAAAAGGGAGGCGGCGCCCCAAAAGTGGAGGGGAAGGAGCCCTGAACCCGCAGAGCTGCCAGGGAGGGGCCCTGGGTGTGCTGTGGAAGGGATTCTGCACCCCAAAAGTTGTACCTGGGGTTCTGAACCCCCAAACCCGCCCTGCCAGGGTGTCCTGCACTCCTTTACAGGGGTACAGCACCCCTAAAAGTGCTTCTCAGGGGGTCCCGAACCCCCAAACCCCCCCTGGGAGGGGTCCTGTACCTCCAAAACTGCCACGGATGAGGCTGTGAACCCCCAAACCCCGCCGGCGAGGGGGCCCTGCACCCCTAAAAGTGCTTCTCACGCGTCCCGAACCCCCAAACCCCCCTCGCGAAGGCTCCCGCACCCCAAAAGCGCCGTGGGCGGAATTCTGCACCCCCAAATCTCCCCAAACCCGAGCGTTTCACCCCCGAGCCGCCCGTCCTCCGCTCCTCGAGCCCCTCGGTCCCCTCTCCCCACACTCCCCGGACCCCTCCGCCCGCCCGGCCCCGACCCCCCGGTCCCGTCCCGGGGGTCCCGACCCGGCAGCTGCTCCCGGCGGCCGCCATGGCCGCGGACTTTGACCCGGAACCTCTCTCGCGCCGCCGTTCTGCCGCCGGACCGGATACGGCCGCACTACGGGGGAAGGGTTTGGCGGTAGCACCGTTTTCGGCGTCCTGTCGCCATGGCAACGGCGCGGGGTCTGGAACAGGCCCGACCGGGGTTTTGGGGGGATTTTGGGGGTCCGGAAGGGTTTTGATGGCTATGGGGGGGTTCTGGGAATGCGGCAGTGGGAATGGCGGCGTCCTGTGGGATTTTAGGGGACCCCCGGGGGGGAAATTTGGGGGTTTCCGTGGCGGGGGGGGCTGTAGGAGTCAGGGGGGTTCATCCCGCCCATGGGGACACAGCAAGGACCCCCCAAAATCCGCTTGGGAGGGGTCCCCAAAGTGACCAGCACTTCACCCCCAAACTCCCCTCCAAAAATTCTGGGGGGCAATAGTTGGAAAAAAACCCGATTTATTTGCCCCAAAATGAGCACAGACATGGCTGAGGGAGGAAATGTGTGGGATCCTGGGGGTGGGAATAGGAACACCCCCAAAATGATGCTCAGAGCCCCCCAAAACCAGATATCAGCCCCCCGCCAATGACCCAGAGCCCCCCAAATCAGGGCTCAGCCCCCCAAAATCAGGGTTCAGGACTCCCAAATCAGGCTCAACACCCTTCAAGGACCCAGAGCCGCCCCCAAATCAGCGCTCAGCACACCCCGAAGTTCTCTGAGTCCCTAAAAAAGGGGCCGGGAACCCCCAAATCAAGGGTCAGGACCCCCATAGGGGGCTCAGAGCTTCTCAAATCAGGGCTCAGAACCCCCAAAGCGCTCAAAACCCCCCCAGATAGGGCTCAGCCCCCCCAAATGAGGGCCCAGCCCCCCAAAATCAGGGTTCAGGACTCCCAAATCAGGCTCAACTCTCTTCAAGGACCCAGAGCCCCCCCCCCAAATCAGCGCTCAGCACCCCCCAAAGTGCTCCAAGTCCCGCCAAATGAGGGCTCAGCCCCCCCAAATAGGGCTCAGCCCCCCCAAATGAGGGCCCAGCCCCCCCAAATGAGGGCTCAGAGCCCCCCAGCGCTCAGCCCAGCCCCTCCCGGACCTGCTGCACCAGCCGGGCCCTCACGGCCCGTCCCTCGCGCGCCCCCGGCCCGGGGGGCGGCGGCGGCTGCGGGGGGGGCTCGGGGTGGGTGGGGGCGGGCGGGAGCCCCTCGGGGGGCTCCAGGGGGACGCGGCGGCGCAGGGCGATGTTGTGCAGGATGCAGCAGGCCAGGAAGATCTGGCAGACTTTGGGGGGGCTGTACTGGAGCCCCCCGCCCGCCAGGCAGCGGAAGCGGCGGCGCAGCAGCCCCAGGGTGCGGCGCAGCGGGGCCAGGCTGCGCGCGTGCAGCGCGTTGTAGCGCAGCTCGGCCGCTCCCCGCGGGCCCGAGATCGGCGTCAGCAGCCACGGCTTCAGCGGGTACGAGCGGTCACCTGCGGGGAACGGGGGGGACACACCTCAGTTACAGCTGGAGCGGCAGGGACACACCTGAGTTACACCCAGAGCAGCAGGGACACACCTGAGTTACACCCGGAGCACCGGGGATACACCTGAGCTACACCTGGAGTGGCAGGGACACACCTGAGAGTGGCAGGGATACACCTGAGTTACACTCAGAGCACCGGGGATACACCTGAGCTACACCCAGAGCACCAGGGACACACCTCAGTTACACCTGGAGCAGCAGGGACACACCTGAGTTACACCCGGAGTGGCGGGGACACACCTGAGTTACAACCAGAGCACCAGGGACACACTTGAGTTACACCCGGAGCACCGGAGATGCACCTGAGCTACACCTGGAGTGGCAGGGACACACCTGAGAGTGGCAGGGACACACCTGAGTTACAACCAGAGCACCAGGGACACACCTGAGTTACACCCGGAGCACCAGGGACACACCTCAGTTACACCTAGAGCAGCAGGGACACACCTGAGAGTGGCAGGGACACACCTGAGTTACAACCAGAGCACCAGGGACACACCTGAGTTACACCCGGAGCACCGGGGATACACCTGAGAGTGGCGGGGACACACCTGAGTTACAACCAGAGCACCAGGGACACACCTGAGTTACACCTGGAGGGGCAGGGACACACTTGAGTTACACCCGGAGCACCGGGGATACACCTGAGCTACACCTGGAGTGGCAGGGACACACCTGAGAGTGGCAGGGACACACCTGAGTTATACTCAGAGCACCAGGGACACACCTGAGCTACACCTGGAGGGGCAGGGACACACCTCAGTTACACCCAGAGCACCAGGGACACACCTGAGTTACACTCGGAGCACCGGGGATACACCTGAGCTACACCTGAGAGTGGCAGCGACACACCTGAGTTACACCCAGAGCAGCAGGGACACACCTGAGCTACACCTGGAGTGGCAGGGACACACCTGAGCTACACTCAGAGCACCAGGGACACACCTGAGAGTGGCAGGGACACACCTGAATTACACCTGGAGTGGCAGGGATACACCTGGAGCACCCCAAGGTCACCAGGGTCACCCCCAGCCTAACCCCAGCCATCAGTGGCTGTGTGCAGTGACCCCTCAGACCACCCCCAGATCACCCCCATATTCCCGAAACCCCCAAACCCCCCAAAGACCCCCAAACCCCCCTCCCCCAACAGCCAGTCCCCCCTTCCATAAACCAAGACCTCCAGCATCCCCCCACCCCGAAACACCCCAAACCCCGTTCCCCAGCAGCCAGACCCTCTCACTCGATCTTTGGCATCCCCCCTCACCCCAAACCCCCCCAAAGACCCCCAAACCCCCTCACCCAGCAGCCAGACCCCCGGGGCCCTGCTGCCCTCCATCAGGCGCGCCAGGGCCGAGTTCTCGAGCACGGTGGCGTTGGGACACGAGCCGGGGAATTTGGCCACCACGTTGGTGATGTGCCCGCGGCGGTCGCACACCACCTGCATGTTGATGGAGTGGAAGTTGGCGGCGTTGCGGAACAGCGGTTCGTTATCCGCCGGTGCCCGCAGCGCCACGTGCATGGCGCCCACCAGTCCCAACACCCCGGGCAGCCCCGCGGGGTCCCGGTGCGGAACGGGCACCGGCGGGAAGGCGATGTACCGGACCGCCCGGCGCTGCAGCGCCGCCAGGAACTGCGCCAGGCAGTTGGACATGGCGGACTGGCTGATGCCGGTGCTGAGGCGTGAAACCGTCTGGAAGGAGCCCGAGGCCAGGAAAGCCAAGGCCGAGGTGACCTTCACGGCCACCGGCAGCGCGTGGCTGCGGCCCGTGAGGCTCTGCAGGTCGGCCCCGAGCTCCCGGCACAGCGCCGCGATGGCCGCCCGGTCCAGGCGGCACCGGCGCAGCGCCTGCTCGTCGCTCAGCTCCAGGAAGGAGCAGCGCACCCGGTAAATGCGCTGCGCCGGGTACGGGCGGCGGCGGCGGCGGCCGCGGAGGGGGTTCGGTGATGGGGATGCGGCGGAGGGAGAAGCGGAGGGCGCGGGGAGGGGGTTACGGGATGGCGAGATGGGTGCGGGGTGCCGGTCATGAGCCCGGTCCTGATCGCGGTCCCGTTCGTGGGTTTCATCCCGGTGCCGTTCGTGGGTTTCATCCCGGTGCCGGTGCTGCTCCCGGTCCCTGTCACAGTCCTGATCCCGCGCGCAGTGCCGGTGCTGCTCCCGGTCCCTGTCACGGTCCTGATCCCGTGCCCGGTGCTGCTCCCAGCCCTGTTCCTCGTCGCTGTCCCGGTGCTGTTCCCGGTGCCGGTGCCGCTCCCGGAGCCGCCGCAGCAGCAGAACCGCGTAGGACATGGCGGGGCGGGGCAAACCGGAACGGGGCGGGGCCAGAGCCGCCGGTCCCGGTGGCCGCGACACGGGTCGGTGCCACTTGGGGCGGTCAGCCTCGGTCCCGGTGCCGGTAGCGGTGCCGATCGATCCCGATGGGAGCGGTTGGCCCCGGTCTATCCCGGAGCCGGTGGGGGCAGCTGTTCGCTGTCCCTGTACCGATCCCGATGCCGGTAAGGCCGGTCTCTCCGTGTCCCGGTGCCGCTCCCGCTCTGTCCCGGTGCCGGTGAGGCCGCTCTATCCGTGTCCCGATGCCGGTAGGGCCGGTCTCTCCGTGTCCCGGTGCCGCTCCCGCTCTGTCCCGGTGCCGGTAGGGCCGCTCTGTCCGTGTCCCGGTGCCGCTCCCGCTCTGTCCCAGTGCCGGTAGGGCCGCTCTCTCCGTGTCCCGGTGCCGCTGCCGGTCCCGGTTCCGCCGCCTCGGGTCCGCCCGGCTCCGCCGCTCCGCCAGGCCACGCCCCTCCCCCGCGCGCTGATTGGCCAGCGGTTCTGTCACGTGCTCTGAAAGCCCCACCCCTCCCCTCACTTCCGGCGCGCCGCCGCGAGGGCAGAGGCGCTTTGTGCCTTGCGCTATCCGGGCCGCCGCTGGGCGGGGCTTCGCAGCGCCTCGGCCAATCGCGTCGCACCGTTCCGCCTCTCTCGGCCAATCAGCGCGCGTGGTGGGCGGGGTCACGAGCGAGGCGGCCGCCGCCATTTTAGTGCCGTCACCGAGCACCGGGCGGGGGGGGCGCGGTGAGAATCGGGGGACCGGGAGGGACCGGGAGGGAGCTGGGACCCCGCTGGGACCCCGCTGGGACCCCGCTGGTGTGGGGGAGCTCTGCACGGGGTCCCGGTAGGGAGCCGGGACCCCGCTGGTGTGGGGCAGGGCTGCGCGGGGTCCCGCGGTCTCGGGGAGGCGCCCGGGATGGGGCTGGGGGGGAGTTGGGTGTCCCCTCCCTGGGCTGAGGGAGAGTTGGGTGTCCCCTCCCTGGGCTGAGGGCTCACGGAGCACAACCGGGGCTGAGGCTCCGCTCGGGACCCTGACGGAGCCGGGCCTAGGGGGTCTCTGCTTCAGGGGGCCCTGAGGGGTGAGGGGGGGTCCCATCGGGAATCAGCAGGAGGAGGATCTGTGAAAGGCGGGGGGAACTTTCCCCATCCCCTTCCCCCTGCCCGGGGCGGGGTTTGAGCGGGGAGGGTCTCACCGAGCCCCCCCTTCCCTGCCGCCCGCAGGCGGGTCGCGATGGTGAAGCTGTTCATCGGGAACCTGCCGCGGGAGGCGACGGAGCAGGAGATCCGCTCCCTGTTCGAGCAGTACGGGAAGGTGCTGGAGTGCGACATCATCAAGAACTACGGCTTCGTGCACATCGAGGACAAGACGGCGGCCGAGGACGCCATCCGCAACCTGCACCACCACAAGCTGCACGGCGTCTGCATCAACGTGGAGGCCAGCAAGAACAAGAGCAAGGCCTCCACCAAGCTGCACGTGGGCAACATCAGCCCCGCCTGCACCAACCTGGAGCTGCGCGCCAAGTTCGAGGAGTATGGCCCCGTCATCGAGTGCGACATCGTCAAGGACTACGCCTTTGTGCACATGGAGCGGGCCGAGGACGCCGTAGAGGCCATCCGGGGGCTGGACAACACCGAGTTCCAAGGTGAGGTGCAGATTTGGGGAGCACCAGGCTGGGATGGGGCACGGGGAGGTTCTGATCTGGGAGGATTTTGGCTGATTTTGGGTGTTACCAGCCCCACTCTGTGGTTGGTGCTGTGTTCAGGGCCTCCTCTTGTCCCGGAGCGCCAGAATTTGGCTCTGGGGATGGTGCCAGGTGCTGTCCTCGTGCTCTCGTCCAGTGTCAGAGCTGAGGACACTGTGGTGGCTCCATGTCGGGGCAGAGTGGAGTTTGTAGGAATTCTGGGGGATTTACCCCAAACTCTTTGTTCAGGGTGAGTTCCACCTCTGGGGCTGCCTCACAGGACTGGGTTGTCCCTGTGCTGCTGGAATTTGGGGGAGAACTGGGCTGGGAGCCACACCATGTCCCCTTGGCCCCTGTTGTCCCCAGGTCCTGCCTGGGGCCACAGGGACCCTCCTTATCTGTGTGCCCACCCTGGTGGCTCCTGTCACCCCCCACCCTCAGCGGTGCCAGGGGCGGCTTTCAGGGGTCCCATGGTGCCCTGGGGGTCCCCATGGCTGCTGCCACCTCTTGAGGGTCCCATGGACCACCAGCCCCAGCCCAGCTTTGCCACCACGGCCCCAGATGTTCTGATCTTTGACATAATTCAATCTTGGTGCAATAATTAAATAACTAAAATGCAAAACAACGGCTGGAGTTTGTGCCTCTGACAGGGATCCCAAACAAAGCAGCCCCTGGGCTTTCATCCCCTTGGTGTGCACAGGAAGGTCTCGGGGTTGTCACCTCCTGCCGTGTCCCCAAATATCCCTCAGGCACAAAGTTTGGGGGTTGTCACCTCCTGCCGTGTCCCCAAATATCCCTCAGGCACAAAGTTTGGGGGTTGTCACCTCCTGCCGTGTCCCCAAATGTCCCTCACCTGGCAGGGCCACAGGTGCCCAGGCCCTTTGTTGTGCCTCGGTTCCTGGTCTCTTCTCAGGGAACATCCCACAGTGCCAAAGGTGACTCTTGGCAGTGCCAGGGGTGGCACTTGGGGGTCCCCAAGGGATGGTGGAGGCTCTGGGGCACCCCATGATGCGATGCTGGCACTGGGGAACCCCACAGTGCCTGATGCCCGTGTGGAGTGTGGCTCTGGTGATCCCAAAATCTTGTGCCAGTGCCGGAGTGCCGGGATCAGCCGTGGGGATCCCATGGCTTTGTGCCAGCGCCGGGATCAGCTCTGGGGATCCCACGGCCCGATCTCGATGTTGGGTGGCTCTGGGGGATCCCACGGCCCGGTCTCGATGTCGGGTGGCTCTGGGGGACCCTGTGACCCGATGCCCGTGGCTCCGGGGGATGCCATGGCCCGATGCCGGGTGACGCTGGGTCTCCCTCTCCCCAAGGCAAGCGGATGCGCGTGCAGCTCTCCACCAGCCGCCTGCGGACGGTGCCCGGGATGGGAGACAAGAGCAGCTGCTACCGCTGCGGGAAGGAGGGGCACTGGTCTAAGGAGTGCCCGGTCGATCGCCCGGGGCAAGTGGCGGACTTTGCCGAGGCCTATAACGAGCAGTACGGAGCCGTGCGCACTCCCTACACCGCGGGCTATGGGGAGACCGTGTATTACGATGAGGCCTACGGCGGGATGGCCGACTACTACAAGCGCTACCGCGTCCGCTCCTACGCCACGGCCTCGGCGTACGACGCCTACGCGGAGCAGACCATGGCCCAGTACTCCCAGTATGCCCAGTACTCCCAGGTCCAGTCCTCAGCCATGGCCGCCACCACGGCCATGGCCGGCCGCATCCCCACCACCTTAGACGCGTACGACCGAGCGCTGCTGCCCACTCCGGGCGCGGCGGCCGCCGTCGCCGCCGCCGCCGCCACCGCCGCGGCCGCCGCCGCGTCCTCCACATATTACACCCGGGACAGGAGCCCCCTGCGCCGCACGGCCGCCGCGGCCAGCACCGTCGGAGAGGCGTACACGTACGAGCGTGGGCAGCTGTCGCCCGTCTCCTCGGTGGCCCGGGCGTCCCTCTACGACCTGCAGCGCTTCGAGCGGGATCCCTACGGGGACCGGGCGCGGTACTCCGCCTTCTGAGGTGAGCGCCGGCGCCTCGGCCCGGGCGTGTCCGTGCCGCCGGCGCCCGGTAACGGTCTTTCCCTGCCCAGGGTCGCCGCAGACCCCCCGGGACTCGCCGCCATCGCCGTGGCTCCGCAGCCCCTGGATGTCGCCGCCGCGTCAGGTCAGACGTGCCCCGGGTCGCCGCCGCCGCCGCCGCGTCCCCTCCCCGTCACCGGGACCCCCCGTCCCCGTCGGAGCCGCCGGAGCCGCCGCGTCCCAGCGCCCGCGTGTCCCCGTGGCCGGGTGTCCCCGAGTGTCCCCGGGTGTCCCCGAGTGTCCCCGTGTCCCCCACGTCCCCTCACGTCTCTGCTCTCTTCCAGGTGCGGCGGCCTCGGATGGAGCCGTGTCCCCCCGCCTGGGCCGCCCCTTTTTGTACGGAGCTTCCCCAGAGCCCCCCCCGGCCTCACCCGCCCCATTTTCCAGCAAAATAAAAATTTTCACCAATTTCTGTCCCGATTTTTCTGTGCCGGGTCTGCCGCGGGGGGCGGGGCCTGCGGGGGGCGGGGCCGGGGCTGGCCAATCAGAGCGCAGCGTTTTAAATCTAGCGCGAGATATGCAAATGAGATCGTGGGCGGAGCGAATGCAAATAGCGCCAGCGGCCAATCCGATTTCCGAAAGGGAGGGGCGGGGTCTGTGGCGGGAGAGGGGCGGGGTTATGCAAATTTACGCCGCAAGGGGTCCGACCCCGTTTCACTGTCGGACCGTGGGGCTGATTTTGTCACCCGGAACTCCCGCGTCGTTCTTTCCGCCCTGACTCGAGTGGCTTTTGTGACGTCATTTCCTGCGCGACGCCGTCTCCGCAGCGGCCATGGCGCTGAACGGCGGTGAGGCACCGGCGGGACCCCCGGGACCCCACCGGGATCCCCCCTCAGCACCGGGAATCACCCCGGAACCCCCCTCCGCCACCGGGACCTTCCCCGGGCCCCTCCGTGCCCCTTCCCGCCCCTCCGAGTCTCCCTCAGCTCATCCCAGACTCCTTAACCCGCCCTCCCCGCGGTTTGGGACCCCCCCGGTAACCGAGACCCCCTTCCCGGTAACCCAGACCCCCCCCCCGGTAACTCAGAAATCCCCCCGGTAACCGAGACCCCCTTCCCGGTAACCCAGACCCCCCCCCGGTAACTCAGACATCCCCCCGGTAATCCAGACCCCCTCCGGTAACCCAGACCCCTCCCCCGGTTTCCCCCCCAGGCGCGGACGAGGCCGAGGCGCGGCGGGAGCGGTTGGACCGGGCGAGCCGGGCCATGGGGGCGCTGCTGCTGCGGGGGTACCGAATGCTGGGGAGCTGCTGCCCGGAGTGCGGGGTGAGCGCACCGGGAACCCCCGGGAACCCCCCGGGAACCCCCCGGGAACCCCCCGGGACCCCCCGGGATCTCCCCGGGACCCTCGGGAACGGGGAGGGGTCGGAACGGGGGGAGAGGGGAGGAGCCGGGACCGTCCTGGGATTGGGAATGGGCGGGAGGGGGGAGGGGTCCCGGGAATTTGGGGGTACCGGGACCCTCCCGGGAATTTCGGGGGTACCGGGGGGGGGGTGGTGGAGGGGTCCCGGTGCCCCGTGACGCCCCCGGTGCCCCCCCAGACGATTCTGCTGCAGGACAAGGAGCAGCGGCTGCTGTGCGTGAGCTGCCAGGAGCCCGAGGGGGGGAACGGTACGAGGGGGGGAATTTGGGGGATTTTGGGGTGGAAATTGGGGATTTTGGGGGTGGGGGAGGGGAATTGGGGATTTTTTGGGGGGTGGGGGGCGGGAATTGGGGGGAATTGGGCATTTTGGGGTGGAAACTTGGGGTTTTGGGGGTGGAGAAGGAGAATTTGGGGGGAAATTGGGGATTTTGGGGGTGGGGAGGACAATTTGGGAGGAAATTGGGGATTTTGGGGGTGGGGGAGGAGAATTTGGGGGGAATTGGGGATTTTGGGGATGGGGGAGGAGAATTTGGGGGAAAATTGGGGATTTTGGGGGTGGGGGAGGGGAATTTGGGGGAAATTGGGGATTTTGGGGGTGGGCGAGGGGAATTTGGAGGGAATTGGGGATTTTGGGGATGGGGGAGGAGAATTTGGGGGGAAATTGGGGATTTTGGGGGTGGGGGAGGGGAATTTGGGGGGAAATTGGGGATTTTGGTGGTGGGGGGAGGAGAATTTGGGGTGGAAATTGGGGGTTTTGGGGGTGGGGGAGGGGAATTTGGGGGAAATTGGGGATTTTGGGGGTGGGGAGGGGAATTTGGGGGGAAATTGGGGGTTTTGGGGATGGGGGAGGGAAATTGGGGATTTTTTGAGGGGTGGGGGAGGAGAATTTGGGGGAAATTGGGGATTTTGGGGTGGGGGAGGGGAATTTGGGGGGGAATCGGGGATTTTTTGGGGGGTGGGGGAGGAGAATTTGGGGGGAATTGGGGTTTTTGGGGTGGAGAAGGAGAATTTGGGGGGAAATTGGGGGTTTTGGGGGTGGGGGAGGGGAATTTCGGAGGAATAGGGGATTTTGGGGGTGGGGGAGGGGAATTTGGGGGGAATTGGAGATTTTGGGGGTGGGGGAGGGGAATTTCGGAGGAAATTGGGGATTTTGGGGGTGAGGGAGGAGAATCTGGGGGGAAATTGGGGATTTTGGAGGTGAGGGAGGGGAATTTGGGGGGGAATAGGGGATTTGGGGGTGGGGGAGGGGAATTGGGGATTTTTTGGGGGGTGGGGGGCGGGAATTGGGGGTTTTGGGGGTAGGGGAGGGGAATTTGGGGGAAAATTGGGGATTTTGGGGGTGGGGGAGGAGAATTTGGGGGGGAATTGGGGATTTTGGGGGTGGGGGAGGTGAATTTGGGGGGAAATTGGGGATTTTGGGGGTGGGGGAGGTGAATTTGGGGGGAAATTGGGGATTTTGGGGGTGGGGGGCGGGAATTGGGGATTTTTTGGGGGGTGGGGGGGCGGGAATTGGGGATTTTGGGGGTGGGGGAGGGAAATTGGGGGGAATTGGGGATTTTGGGGGTGGGGGAGGGGAATTTCGGAGGAAATGGGGATTTTGGGGGTGGGGGAGGGAAATTGGGGATTTTTTGAGGGGTGGGGGGCGGGAATTGGGGGGAATTGGGGATTTTGGTGGTGGGGGAGGGGAATTTGGGGGGAAATTGGGGATTTTGGGGTTGGGGGAGGGGAAATTTGGGGGGAATTGGGGATTTTGCGGGTGGGGGAGGAGAATTTGGGGGAAAAATTGGGATTTTGGGGGTGGGGGAGGGCAATTTGGGAGGAAATTGGGGATTTTGGGGGTGGGGAGCAGAAGGTGCCGAGGGCGGCAATTTGAGGATGGGGGGGGGGGGGGCTGCAAATATTTGGGAGTTTTGGACCTGAAGCCATTGGGGGGGAGGGGCAGAACCCCAAAATCTGCTCCCCCCCGACCCCTCCCTCCCCTCCCCCGCAGCTCCGCGGCCCGAGCGCGGCTCAGCGGCGGCGGCGGCTCCGCGGGGAGCGGCTCCCGCTGCCCCCGGGGCTGACGGGGACGGCTCCGGGGCCGAGTTCCCCGGTTGTCCCGGTTCCGCCGGTGCCGGTGCGGATTTCCCCGGTTCCGCCGGTGCCGGTGCGGATTTCCCCGGCTGTCCCGGTTCCCCCGGTGCGGCGGTGGCGGCGGCGCGGGCGGCGCTGCTGCAGAAGCTGCTCTGGGCCTCCCGGGAGCTGCCCCGCACCGGCTCCGTGGACGGCAGCGCGCGGCTCTGCCGCCTCATGCGGGACTGCGCCCACGCCCTGCGGGGGCTGCGCGACCTGGAGCTGCCCGGGAGCGCCCCCGGGACACCCCCGGGACACACCGAGCCCTCCCGGTGACACCGGGCACCCCCCCGGGACACCCCCGGGACACACTGAGCCTTCCCGGTGACACCGGGCACCCCCCGGACACCCCCCCGGGACACACCGAGCCCTCCCGGTGACACCGGGCACCCCCCCGGGACACCCCCGGGACACACTGAGCCTTCCCGGTGACACCGGGCAACCCCCCGGGACATTCCGGGCCCCCCCCGGTGACACCGGGCCCCCCCCGGCCCCCCCCGGGACACAGCGAGCCTTCCCGGTAACACCCCGGGATCCCCCCGGTGACAACTTGAGATCTCCCGGGACATCCCGAACCTTCCCGGTGACACCGGGCACCCCCCCGGGACACACCGAACCCTCCTGGTGACACCGGGCACCCCCCGGGACATCCCAAGCCCCTCCCGGTAACAACCGGGACCCCCCCGGTGACACATTGGGATCTCCCGGGACACCCCGAACCCTCCCGGTGACACCGGGCGCCCCCCGGGACGTCCCCGGGACATCCCGAGCCCCTCCCGGTGACACCCCCGGGCCCCCCCGGTGCCAGCGGTGCCGGGCGGGACGGAGGCTCCGCTGTGAAACGGAGTCGGGTGGTTTAAAGGGTTAAATCCCGGCTGAAAATGGGCTAAAAACGGGTTTTTGTGTGAAAAAATGGGGTGTCAGAGGGATTTGGGGTGGTGAAAATGGGGTTTTGTAGGAAATAAATCGGTGGAAAGTGGATTTGGTGTGAATTTGGGGGAAGGGTTTGGTGAAAAAGGGATTTTATAGGGAAAAAATTGATGTAAACGGGATTTTATAGAGAAAAAAATTGGTGTAAAAGGGATTTTATGTGATAGAATTTAGTATAAAAGGGATTTGATATTAAAGGGTTTGATATAAAAGGGATTTTATAGAAAAGGATTTGATATAAAATGAATTTGGAATAAAAGGAATTTGCTATAAAAGGATCTCATAGAAATAAATTTGGGATAAAAGGGTTTGATATAAAATAAGTTTGGGGTAAAAGAGTGTGATATAAAATAAATTTAGGATAAAAAGCACTGGATATAAAATAAATTTGATATAAAAGGGATTTGTATAAAATAAATTTGGGATAAAAAGATTGGATATAAAATAAATTCAGGATAAAAGGGTTTGATATGAAATAAAATTGGGATCAAAAGATTTTATATAAAATTTGGGATAAAAGGATTTGATCTAAAATTGGGATAAAAGCATTGGATATAAAATAAATTTCGGGTAAAATTTATATAAATTTGATGTAAAATAAATTGGGGTTAAAAGGATTTGATATAAAATTTGGTGTAAAAGGATTTGATCTAAAATTTGGGATAAAAGGGATTTGATATGAAATCTGATACAAAAGGGTTTGATATACAATAAATTTGGGATAAAAGGGTTTGATATAAAATAAATTGGGGATAAAAGGATTTTATATAAAATTTGGGATAAAAGGAATTCGATATAAAATCTGGTACAAAAGAGTTTGATATAAAATAAATTTGGGATAAAATGATTTGATATAAAACAGATTTGGGGTAAAATCCTCGTGACAAAATCGGAACCAAACCAAAACCTCAAACCCGCGGATTTCACCCCAAAATCGCCCCAAATTCCCCCGGGGGGGGGGGGGGGGGGCGCACTGGGGGGGGTGGGGGAGGGGCGGCCCCTCCCCCCTCTCCGATTTCCCACGGGGGGGGGGGAGGGGCGGGGCTGTCGCGACAATCGCGATCGCGGCGGTGTCAGGAGTGGGGGAGGGGCGGGGGGTGCGGGGCGGATTTTGGGGACCCCCCGGGGGGAATTTGGGGATTTTTGGGGTATTTTTGGGGGGTCCATGGGGAGCGTCTGGAAGCGGCTGCAGCGCGCGGGGAAACGCGCGGCCAAAGTTCGGTTCAGGGCGCGCCTGGAGGAGCTGCTGCTGGAGGGGGGGGGCGGCTGGTGAGTGACCCCCCCCCAAATCCCAGAGACCCCCCCCAAATCCCAGAGATCCCCCCCCAAATCCCAGAGACCCCCCCCCAAATCCCAGAGACCCCCCCCAAATCCATGGGGTACCCCCCAAATCCCAGAGACCCCCCCCAAATTATCGAGATCCCCCCCAAATCCCCGGGAAACGCCACAAATCACCGAGACACCCCCCCAAATCCCAGAGACTCCCCCAAATCCCAGAGACCCCCCCCGGGACACCCCCAAATCCCAGGGACCCCCCCCAAATCCCCGGGGCACCCCTAAATCCCAGAGACCCCCCCCAAATTCCAGAGACCCCCCCCAAATCCATGGGGTACCCCCCAAATCCCAGAGATCCCCCCCAAATCCCAGAGACCCCCCCAAATCACCGAGATCCCCCCCAAATCCCAGAGAACCCCCCCCAAATTCCCGGGGCACCCCCAAATCACAGAGACCCCCCCGGACCCCCAGAGAACCCCCCCCAAATCCCAGAGACCCCCCCGGGACACCCCCAAATCCCAGAGACCCCCCTGGGAAACCCCCCAAATCCCAGAGACCCCCCCCCAAATCACCGAGATCCCCCCCAAATCCCCGGGGCACCCCCAAATCTCGGGGCACCCCCAAAATCCCAGAGATTTCCCCCAAATACCCCGAGACCCCCCCAAATTCCCGAGACCCCCCCCGGGACACCCCCAAATACCCGAGACCCCCCCCAAATCCCAGAGCCCCCCCCTAAAATTTGTGGGAGCCCCAAACCCTTCCAGGATTTCCCCCAAATTCATGGGGTCCCCCCCCTAAACAAACCACGGGACCCCCCCAAATCCCGGAGACACCTCCCGACCTCCCGGGACCCCCCAAAAATCGGTGGAAAGTCCCAAATTCTTCCAGGATTCCCCCCAAAATTCATGGGATTTCCCCCCACCCAAAAAAAAACCCACCGAGACCCCCCCCAAGAGTGGGGGAGGGACCTAAAACCCCCCACGGGAACCCTCAAATCTCTGAGACCCCCCCCAAAAAACCCCCGGGACCCCCAAAACCCCCCGGGACCCCCAAAACCCCCCGGGACCCCCAAAAACCCCCTCAAATCAACGCCCCCCCCCTCCCCACACCCCTAAAATCCCCGGGAACCCTCCCCGGGCCCCCCAAAAATCCCCCCCCGGACCCCCCAAAAATCCCCCCCCGGTTCATTTTGAGTTGAAAATCTCCATAAATGGGGTCGGGCTAAAAATAGCCCGGGGGGGGGGGAGGGGGCGAACCCCCCCTTCCCTCCCCTCCCCCCCCCGGGGGTGTCCGGTTTCCCCCCCCGCCCCAAATTTAGCCGCGACCCCCCCTCCGAGGGTGGGGGAGGGGAGGGGGGGTCAGTTTGGGGGTCCCGGGGGGGAATTTGGGGGGGGGGGATGAATTTGGGGGTCCGGGGGGGGGGGGGAGGTCAGTTTGGGGGTCCCGGGGGGGGATTTGGGGGGTGTAGGGTCAGTTTGGGGGTCCCGGGGGGGGATTTGGGGAGTGGGATGAATTTGGGGGTCCCGGGGGGGGGATATGGGGGTGTAGGATCAGTTTGGGGGTCCCGGGGGGGAAAATGGGGGTGTAGGATCAGTTTGGGGGTCCCGGGGGAATCTGGGGGGTGTGGGGTGAGTTTGGGGGTCCCGGGGGGGGGTGATTTGGGTGGGGGGCTGAATTTGGGGGTCCCGCCCCCCCCCCAGGACCCCCGACAGAGTGACGGTGGTGTGGAGCCGGCGGCAGCGCAGGGTCTGCTCCAAGGTGGGGGGCCGGGGGGGTTTGGGGGGTCCTGGAGGGGGTTTGGGGGGGTCCCGGGGGGTCCTGAGGGGGTTTGGGGGGTCCCGAGGGGGGTCCCGAGGGGGGTTTGGGGGCCTGAGGGGGTTTGGGGGTACCGGGGGGGTTTGGGGGGTCCCCAGGGGGGTCCCGGGGGGGTTTGGGGGGTCTCGGGGGGGTCCCGGGGGGGTTTGGGGGATCAGGGGGGGTTTGGGGTCCCGGGGGTCTCAGGGATGTTTTTGGGGGTTTTGGGGGGGCTCAGGGATGTTTTGGGGAGCTCAGGGATGTTTGGGGGGGATCAGGGATGATTTGGGGGTTCTGTGGGGCTCAGGGATGTTTTGGGGGGCTCAGGGATGTTTTGGGGGGCTCAGGGATGATTTGGGGGGTCCCTGACGGGGGGTGCAGCCCCGCAGGTGGGAGTTGGGGGGCTCAGGGATGTTTTGGGGGGCTCAGGGATGTTTTTGGGGGGTCCCTGACGGGGGGTGCAGCCCCGCAGGTGGCAGCCGGGCATCCAGAACCCGCAGCGGGGGATGGTGGTCTGGGTGGTGCCCGAGACCCTCGAGGTGGTCGTGACCCTGTACCGGGTACGGACCCCCCAAAACCCGGACCCCCCTTCAGACCCTCCCCCACCCCACTCCGACCCTTTTGGACCCCCGGGTCCACCCCAGGACCCCCACGAGCTGTGTCCCCCCCCCCCCCCCCGCCCCCCCTTGACCCCCCAGGACCCCCCTGACCCCCCCTGACGCCCCCAGGACCCCCCTGACCCCCCCTCCCCCCCCAGGACCCCCCTGACCCCCCCTCCCCCCCCAGGACCCCCCTGACCCCCCCCGACCCCCCTGACACCCCTGACCCCCCAGGACCCCCCCTGACCCCCCCTCCCCCCCCCAGGACCCTCCTCCCCCCCCCAGGACCCCCCTGACCCCCCCTGACCCCCCCTCCCCCCCAGGACCCCCAGGCCACCACCTTCGATGACAAAATCTGGAACTTCCTCGTGGTCAACGTGAGGGGGGCGGGGGCACCCCAAAAACGGGGGGGGGGAACCGGGGGGGTCCCCGGGGTGACACTGGGTGGGGTGACACCGGAGTCACCGGGGGTCTCTGGGGTCTCTGGGTGTCCCCAGGGTGGCCCTAAATATCCCATGGGTGTCCCCAAGTGTCCCCCGGGTGTCCCCAAATGTCCCGTGGGTGTCCCCAAGTGTCCCTAAATGTCCCCCGGGTGTCCCTAAATGTCCCGTGGGTGTCCCCAAGTGTCCCATGGGTGTCCCTAAGTGTCCCTGGGTGTCCCCAAATCTCCCATGGGTGTCCCCAAATGTCCCCTGGGTGTCCCCTGGGTGCCCCCTGGGTGTCCCCAAATGTCCCCTGGGTGTCCCCAGCTGTCCCCTGGGTATCCCCTGGGTGTCCCTGGGTGTCCCTGGGTGTCCCCGGGTGTCCCCTGGGTGTCCCCTGGGTGTCCCTGGGTGTCCCTGGGTGTCCCCTGGGTGTCCCTGGGTGTCCCTGGGTGTCCCCAGCTGTCCCCTGGGTGTCCCCTGGGTGTCCCTGGGTGTCCCTGGGTGTCCCCTGGATGTCCCCTGGGTGTCCCCAGCTGTCCCCAGCTGTCCCCAGCTGTCCCCGCTGTCCCCGCAGGAGTCGCGGGGGCGGCGCTCGGTGGTGGCCGCGGCCCCGCTGGAGTTGGGGCGCCTGGCGGGGGTTGGGGACACCCCCGTGTCACTGTCCCTGCGCCCCCGCAGCCGCAAAGTGACAACGGCCACGCTGCGGCTGCGGCTGCGCGGGCTCGTCCTGCTGGAGGGACACCCCACGTAGGCACCGGGGGGACAGGGGGACAGGGGGACATTGGGGACATTGGGGACATCGGGGACATTGGGGACATTGGGGACATTGGGGACAGGGGGGACACTGGGGACAGGGGGACACTGGGGACATTGGGGACATTGGGGACATTGGGGACATTGCGGACAGGGGGGACACTGGGGACAGGGGGACATTGGGGCATTGCAGGGGCATTGGGGGATTGGGGACACTGGGGACGTTGAAGGGACATTGGGGCATTGGGGACATCAAGGTCATCGAAGGGACTTTGGGGACATTGGGGACATCAAAGGGACATTGGGGACATTGGGGACAGTGAGGGGACTCTGGGGACGTGGGGACAGGGAGGACATTGGCGACATCAAGGGGACATTGGAGGAATGGGGACACTGGGGACATTGAAGGGACATTGGGGCATTGGGGACATTGGGGCTTTGAGGACATTGGGGACAGGAGGACACTGGGGACATTGGGGACATTGGGAACATCGATGGGACACTGAGGACAGGGGAGACATTGAGGCATTGGGGACATTAAAGGGGCATTGGGGACATTGGGGACAGTGAGGGGACTCTGGGGGACATGGGGACAGGGAGGACATTGGCGACATCAAGGGGACATTGGGGACATCGGGGACATTGGGGACATCTGGGACAGGGGGGACGGGGGGACAGGGGGACATTGGGGACACCAGGGACATTGGGGACAGGGGGGACACCAGGGACATTGGGGACAGGGGGGACATCTGGGACATTGGGGACAGGGGGACATTGGGGACATTGGGGACATCAAGGTCATTGAAGGGACATTGGGGACACTGGGGACATTGGGGCATTGGGGACATTGGGGCTTTGAGGACATTGGGGACAGGAGGACACTGGGGACACTGGGGACATTGGGGACATCGATGGGACACTGAGGACAGGGGAGACATTGGGGCATTGGGGACATTGGGGACATTAAAGGGACATTGGGGACAGTGAGGGGACGCTGGGGACGTGGGGACAGGGAGGGGACATTGGGGGATTTGGGACACTGGGGGGCATCGAAGGGACATTGGGGACTTTGGGGACATTAAAGGGGTATTGGGGACACAGGGGGACAATGAGGGGACTCTGGGGATGTGGGGACAGGGAGGACATTGGAGACATCAAGGGGACATTGGGGCATTGGGGACATTGGGGACACCTTGGGGACACTGGGGGCACACTGGGGCCATGGCTGGGTGGGGGGGGCACAGTTGGGACATTGAGGGGACACTGAGGGGACACTGAGGGGACACTGTGGGGTCACTGAGGGGTCACTGAGGGGTCACTGAGGGGTCACAATGACTTTGGGGACACTGAGGGGACACTGAGGGGTCACTGAGAGGTCACAATGACTCTGGGGACACTGAGGGGTCACTGAGGGGTCACTAAGGGGACACTGAGGGGACACTGAGGGGACACTGTGGGGACACTGAGGGGACACTGTGGGGACACTGAGGGGACACTAAGGGGACACTGAGGGGACACTGAGGGGACACTGTGGGGACACTAAGGGGACACTGAGGGGTCACAATGACTTTGGGGACACGGGGGGGGGGCTCGGGGACGCCCTGGGGACACTGTCCCCCCCCCAGGGACGAGGACATGCGGAGTGTCACCAGCCTGAGCCCCTCCGGGGACGTGGCCGACCTGGGGGACTTCGAGAGTGACCCCGAGGACGAGGGGGGCGCCCCCCCCGCGCCCCCAGGTGGGTCCCCAATGTCCCCAAGGTGTCCCCAAGGTGTCCCCAAGGTGTCCCCAAGGTGTCCCCAAGGTGTCCCCCCAATGCCGGGGGTGGCTCTGGGGGGGACACACGAGCCCGGCCCCCCCCGGGGGTCCCTGACCCTCCTCTCCCCCAGCGCCCCCCCCCAGCGGGGACCCCCCGAATTTGGGGACCCGGAGGGACCCCCCGGAGCCGGGGGGGGACCCAGAGACCCCCCCCGAAATCAGTGCCGTGAGTGGGGGAGGGGCTCGGGGACCCCTGAATTGGGGGAGGGGGAGGGGGGGGAGTTTGGGGACCCCCTGAATTGGGGGGGGGGGGAGGGGGGGAGTTTGGGGACCCCCTGAATTGAGGGGGGGGGTCCCATGGGGGTGGGGGGGGGTTTGGGGCCGTTCCTCCTCCCCCATTTTGGGGCTGGGGGGGGTCTCAGGGTTTTGGAGGGTCTCTGGGTTTTGGGGGGGGTCTCAGGGTTCTGGGGGGGGTCTCTGGGTTTTGGGGGGGGTCTCTGGGTTTTGGGGGGGTCTCTGGGTTTTGGGGGGGGTCTCTGGGTGCTGGGGGGGTCTCTGGGTTTTGGGGGGGTCTCTGGGTTTTGGGGGGGTCTCTGGGTTCAGGGGGGGGTCTCTGGGTTTTGGGGGTTCTCTCTGAGCTGACCCCCCCCCCGTGCCCCCCCCAGGACCCCCCCGGGGGTCGCGGGGCGCTCCTGGCCTGGTGCCGGGGGGTCACGGCCGGGTACCGGGGGGTCGCCGTCACCGATTTCGGGGGGTCCTGGAGCAGCGGGTTGGGGTTCTGCGCCCTCCTGCACCGGCTGAGACCCCGAGAGATGTGAGGGGGGGCTGGGGGGGCGGGGAGGGGACACAGGGGGGGGGTCCTGGAGGGTTTGGGGGGGTCCTGGAAGGTTTGGGGGGGTCCTGGAGGGTTTGGGGGGGGGGGTCCTGGAAGGTTTGGGGGGGTCCTGGGGGGGCCTGGGGGGTTTGGGGGGGGGTCCTGGAGGGTTTGGGGGGGGGGTCCTGGAAGGTTTGGGGGGGTCCTGGGGGAGTCCTGGGGGGTTTGGGGGGGTCTTGGGGGGGGTCCTGGAGGGTTTGGGGGGGATATGGGGGGGAGTTCTGGAAGGTTGGTGGGGGTCCTGGAAGGTTTGGGGGGGTCCTGGAAGGTTTGGGGGGGGGTCCTGGGGGGTTTGGGGGGGTCCTGGAAGGTTTGGGGGGCTGACAGGGGACAGAGGGGACACCTGGGAGGGGAGTGGGGGGTCCTTGGGGGGTTTGAGGAGCAATTTTTGGGGACCACCCATGGGTGAAGGGGGGGTCAGGGCACCCCGGGGATGTTGGGGGGATCCCTTGGGTGTGGGGGTGGGCACTGGGGGGGGTTTGTGTCACTTGGGGACCCCTCAGTGACCAAAGACCCCCCCCCCCAATGTCCCCCCCTCCCCACCCCGCAGCGACTTCGATGCTCTGGACCCGCGGGACCCCCGGGGCAACAACAAACGGGTGCGTGGGGGGGGTGGGGGGCGCGGGGGGCTCCAGGGATGGAGACCCCCCCCCACTGACTGCCCCCCCCCCCAAATCCGTGCCCCTCCCCCCACAGGCCTTCGACGCCTTCGCGGCCTTGGGGGTCCCGCGGCTCCTGGACCCCTCGGACATGGAGACCCCCGACCCCCTGGGGGTCATGACCTTCCTCAGCCAGGTCCGAGCGATCCTGGGGACCCCCCCGGGGACCCCCCCGGACCCCCGGAGCGGCTCCAGCGAGGGGGGGCCCCGAGAGACCCCCCAGGACCCCCAGAACCCCCCGGAAACCCAAACCGGGACCCCCCCGGACCCCCAGAGTGACGTCATTGAGGGGGGGCCCCAAACGACCCCTCCCGGGACCCCCCCGGACCCCCAAATCAGCGTCACCGAGGGGGAGCCCCAAGAGCCCCCCCGGCACCCCCGGACCCCCCCAGAGACCCAAACCGAGACCCCCCCGGACCCCCAGAGTGATATCACCGAAGGGGGGCCCCAAACGACCCCTCCCGGGACCCCCCCGGAACTCCAAATCGGCGTCAGCGAGGGAGGGGCCCAAGAGCCCCCCCAGACCCCCCCAGAGACCCAAACCGGGACCCCCATGGACCCCCAAATCAGCATCAGTGAGGGGGGGCCCAAATTAACCCCCCCGGGATCCCCCAGGACCCCCAAAACTGTTTCAGCGAGGGGGGGCCCCAAGAGCCCCCCCAGGACCCCCGGACCCCCCCAGAGACTCAAACCGGGACCCCCCCGGACCCCCAAATCAGCATCAGTGAGGGGGGGCTCCAAACGACCCCTCCCGGGACCCCCCCGGACCCCCAGAGTGACGTCACCGAGGGGGGGCCCCAAGAGACCCCCCCAGCCCCCCCCCAGCTCGGCCCCACCGAGGGGGGGGCGCCCCCAGACCCCCCCGTGGAGGGGGAGCCCCCCCAGGACCCCCAGACTGACCCAGCCCAGGGGGGACCCCCACTCAGCCCCCCCCGGGACCCCCAAAATGAGGCTGGGGAGGGGGGGGGCTCCCCCCAGCCCCTCCAGGACCCCCCCCCAGCCTTTGGGGAGGGGGCGGCCGGGCCCGGGCCCCCCCCCCGGCCCGTGGGGGTGGGGAGGGGTCTCCCCACGCCCCCCCCCCGCTCCAGGAGCCTCCCCCGCCTGCGGGACCCCCCCCCGAAGGTGAGACCCCCCCCCCCCAGAGCCCCCCTGAGCCCCCCAGGGTGGCCCCCCCTGACCCCCCCCCTCTGTCCCCAGGGTGACGCCGCGGGACCCCCCCGGGGGGATTCGGGGTCACCCCCGTGTCCCCCCCCAGAGACCCCCAGGGAGCCCCCGGAGCCCCCCGAGGAGGAGAGCGGGGTAGGGGGGGCGGGGGGACACCTTGGGGACACTGGGAGGGACCTTGGGGACAATGGGGGACACAGGGGGAGGGCAGGGACAGCCACGGGTGACCCCGGGGTGACCCCGGTGTCCCCATGGGTGACAGGGACAGTGGGTGGCCCTGGGGTGACCCTGTGGGTGACCCCGGTGTTCCCATGGGTGACAGGGACAGTGGGTGGCCCCGGGGTGACCCCAGTGTCCCCATGGGTGACAGGGACAGTGGGTGGCCCTGGGGTGACCATGGGGTGACCCCGGTGTCCCCATGGGTGACAGGGACAGTGGGTGGCCCTGGGGTGGCCCTGGGGTGACCCCGGTGTCCCCGCGGTGACAGGGACAGTGGGTGGTGGCCGAGCTGGTGGCCCCGGGGTGACCCCGGTGTCCCCGCGGTGACAGGGACAGTGGGTGGCCCTGGGGTGACCCCGGTGTCCCCATGGGTGACAGGGACAGTGGGTGGCCCTGGGGTGACCCCGGGGTGACCCCAGTGTCCCCGCGGTGACAGGGACAGTGGGTGGCCCTGGGGTGACCCCGGTGTCCCCATGGGTGACAGGGACAGTGGGTGGTGGCCGAGCTGGTGGCCCTGGAGCAGGACCAGGCCCAGTTGGACGCTCAGGCCCCAGCGCTGGAGCGGGAACTGCGGGCGCTGATGGACAGCGGTGAGGGGACACTGGGGACACTGGGGACACGGGGACATTGGGGACAGTCTGGGGACATTTGGGAATTGGGGACAGCGTGGGGACATGGGGACACCGGAGGCACACGACCCACGATACACCCCTGTCCTCCTGGTGTCCCCATGATGTCCCCAATGCCCCCCAATGTCCTCGATGTCCCCAATGTCCTGATGTCCCCACGATGTCCCCAATATCCCACAATGTCCCCACAATGTCTCAAATACCCCTCAACATCCCTCTAATGTCCCCGATGTCCCCAATACCCGCCAATGTCCTCAGTATCCCCCCGATGTCCCCAACGTGTCCCCAATATCCCCCTGATGTCCCCACTCTCTCCGATGTCCCCAACGTCCCCGTGTCCCCAATGTCCTAGTGTCCCCAATATCCCCCTGATGTCCCCAATGTCCCAGTGTCCCCAATATCCCCCCGATGTCCCCAACGTGTCCCTGATGTCCCCAATATCCCCCCGATGTCCCCACTCTCTCCGATGTCCCCAACGTGTCCCCGCTCTCCCCGATGTCCCCAACGTGTCCCCACTGTGTCGCCAGGCGCGGACCCCGCCCGCGAGGAGCGGCTGCTCCGGGAGTGGTTCTCGCTGGTGCAGCGCCGCAATTTGCTGGTGCGGCGCCAGGACGAGCTGCAGCTGCTGTGAGGGGACAGCGGCGACACCGCGGCGACATCGCGGTGACATCGCCACCTCCACCCCGTGTCCCCTCCCTGTGTCCCCCCGTCCGCCAGGGGACCCTGGGGACGCTGCGGGGGGGCTCTGCCAGCCCCGGTGACACCGCCTTGTCCCCTCTGTCCCCTCTGTCCCTTTGTGCCCCCTGTCCCCCCTGTCCCCCCTGTCCCCCTGTCACCTCTGTCACCCCAGGGCGCAGGAGCGGGACCTGGAGCGGCGCTTTGAGCTGCTGAGCCGGGAGCTGCGGGGGCTGCTGGGGACAGAGGGTGCGACAGGGGACACTGGGGACATCGGGGGGACACTGGGGACAGTGGGTGTGACACTGGGAATGGGGGGGGGACACTGGGGGGACACAGAGACATCAAGGGGACACTGGGGACATTGGGAACGGGGTTATTGGGACAGCGGGGGGACACTGGGGACATCGGGGGGACACTGGGGACAGAGGGTGTGACACTGGGAATGGGGGGGGACACTGGGGGGACACAGAGACATCGAGGGGACACTGGGGACATTGGGAACGGGGATATTGGGACATCGAGGGGACACTGGGGACAAGGGGACATCGGGGGGGACGTTTGGGACATCGAGGGGACACGGGGGACACTGGAGACAGGGGAAGACGGGGGGACATTGGGAACGCTTGGGGACATTTGGGGACACGGACACGGCGGGTTCCGGGCACAGAAGGAGCCACCGGGGAAGGGGGGGGGGGACAAAGGGCTTTGGGGACCTTTTGGGGGACATTTGGGGACCCCCCAGAGTGGCAGAAGCCGCCGGCGCAGCGGCAGCGCGAGCAGCTCTTACTGGAGGAACTGGTGGCACTGGTGAACCGGCGGGACCGGCTGGTGCGGGACCGGCACCGCCGCGAGTCCAGGTGGGGACACCGGGGGACAGCGGGGGGACACCGGGGGACAGCGGGGGGGGGTCCCGGGGGGTCTCAGGGGGTCCCGGGAGGCGTTTGGGGGCTCAGGAGGGACTGCAGGGGTGGCGCGGGGAGTTCCTGGGGGGGTTTTGGGGCTCTTGGGGTGGATGGGGAGGGGTCGGGGGTGATCCTGGGGGGGGTCCTGAGGGATTTTTGGGGGGTCCGGCCCTGCCCGACGCCCCCCGACCCCCGCAGGGCGCAGGAGGAGGATGAGGAGCTGCGGAGGAGCCTCGAGCTGCGGCGGCGCCGCTGCGGCCGCAGGGAAACGTGTGGGATCTGCTGAGGGACCCCCGGGACCCCCAAAACCCCACCGGGACAAACCCCGGGACCCCCAAAACCCCACCGGGACAAACCCCGGGATCCCCAAAACCCCACCGGGACAAACCCCGGGACCCCCAAAACCTCCCCAGGACCCCCAAAACCTCCCCCGGACAAACCCCGGGACCCCCAAAACGTCCCCGGGACAAACCCCGGGACCCCCAAAACCTCCCCGGGACCCCCAAAACCTCCCCGGGACAAACCCCGGGACCCCCAAAACCCCCGGGACAAACCCCGGGACCCCCAAAACCTCCCCGGGACAAACCCCGGGACCCCCAAACCCCCACCGGGACAAACCCCGGGACCCCCAAAACCCCACCGGGACAAACCCCGGGATCCCCAAAACCCCACCGGGACAAACCCCGGGACCCCCAAAACCTCCCCAGGACCCCCAAAACCTCCCCCGGACAAACCCCGGGACCCCCAAAACGTCCCCGGGACAAACCCCGGGACCCCCAAAACCTCCCCGGGACCCCCAAAACCTCCCCGGGACAAACCCCGGGACCCCCAAAACCCCCGGGACAAACCCCGGGACCCCCAAAACCTCCCCGGGACAAACCCCGGGACCCCCAAACCCCCACCGGGACAAACCCCGGGACCCCCAAAACCTCCCCAGGACCCCCAAAACCTCCCCCGGACAAACCCCGGGACCCCCAAAACCTCCCCGGGACAAACCCCGGGACCCCCAAAACCTCCCCGGGACCCCCAAAACCTCCCCGGGACAAACCCCGGGACCCCCAAAACCCCCGGGACAAACCCCGGGACCCCCAAAACCTCCCCGGGACAAACCCCGGGACCCCCAAAACCTCCCCGGGACCCCCAAAACCTCCCCGGGACAAACCCCGGGACCCCCAAAACTCCCCCAGGGCCCCCCCAAATCCCGGTGGATGCAGCAATAAAGGAAAATTTCTGTGTGAAACCAAATTTGGGGAGAGACTGGGGGGGTCCTGAGACCCCCGGCTGTTATTTGGGGGAGGGGATTAAAGTGTGACCCCGGCATGTGACGCTCGTGGTGCTCGGGGGGGCTTTATTGGGCTCAGCCTCCCCCCCCTCCCCAAATCCTTACGGGGGGAGAGGTGGGACCCCCAAATCCTTGTTGGGGGGGGGGGTTCAGACCTCCCCCCCATCCTCATTCGGGGGTCTCTCCCCTCTCCTCGTCCCAGGGCCCGTCCAGGGGTAGTTCACCCCCGGGGGGGGGGGGGGGGGGGAAATAGAGGAGTTGTTACCATGGCAACAGGACCCCCCCGCCCCAAAATCCTGACCCCCCCCCAACTCCCAGCCCCGCACCCCCAAACCCTGAGTCCACCCAAAACCCCCTCACCCCCCCAACTCCCCCCAGTTTTGGGGTCCCCCTCAAATCCTCGGTGCCCCCCACCCCTCCCCATAATTTTGGGGTCCCTCCCAAACTCCCGGACCGCCCCAGACCCCCAATTTTGGGATCCCTCCCCAAATTCCTGAATAATCCCCCCAAACTCTTTGACCCCCCCCAAGTTTTGAGGCTCCTCCCGAACTCCCTAAACAACCGCTCCACCCCCCCAATTTTGGGGTTCCCCCCCGGTTTTGGGGTCCCCCCGCTCACGGTGTGGCCGCAGCTGCAGCACCCGCAGGAAATATTTGGGGGGTATCCGGCCCTGGGCGTCCCCTGGTGTCAGGATCACCCCGTTGGCCGAGCGGAAAAAGGGGATCCCGTCTGGGGGGAGGGGCCGGGGGGGTCACACGGGCATCGGGGGGGACCCCCGAACAGCGGGGAGCCCCCCAAAAATCGGGGAACCCCCAAAAATTGGGACCCCCCCCTCACCCGCCAGTGCTCGGGGGCCGTCGATGATGATGGCGATCTCCGAGTCCGACCTCATCCCTGTGGGGAGGGGGATTTGGGGGTCCTGGGGGGTTTTGGGGTGTCCTGGGGGGTTTTGGGGGGTCCCGGGGGGCTTTGGGAGGGTCTGGGGGGCTGCAGGAGGGAGGCTGGGGGGTCTCGAGGAGGATTTGCGGGGTCCTAGAAAGGGATTTGAGGGGCTGGAGAGGATTCGGGGACGATTTGGGGGTGCCAAAGGGGTTGGGGAGCTTTGGGGGGGTCACTGGGGGGGTCCCTGCTGAGTCTGGGGAGTTTTTGGGGTGCCCTGGGTTGGTTTTGGGGAGGGGTTGCACCCCACGAGATGAGTGTGGGGTTTCTGTGGGGTTTTGGGATCTCGGGGGGGTTGTGGGGTGTCCCGGGGCCGTTTTTGGGGTGCCCTGGGTTGATTTTGGGGAGGGGTTGCACCCCACGAGGCGAGTGTGGGATTTCTGTGGGGTTTTGGGATCTCGGGGGGGTTTTGGGGTGTCCCGGGGGAGTTTTTGAGGTATCCCTGGGGAGTTTTTGGGGTATCCCGGGGCCGTTTCTGGGGTGTCCCGGGTGGGTTTTTTTGGGGGGTCACTCACCGCTGCGCAGGCCGGGGTCCCCCGGCAGTCCCCCCGCCAGGTGCAGGTGCTGCCGGCCCATGGGGCGCAGCCCCCCCGCCCGGATCGCGCCCCACAGGCGGCGCCGGGTGCCGTGGGCGAGGGTGGGGGGCAGCGCCCCGGGGCTGCACAGGGGGGTCAGCTCCAGCTCCGGCACCTGCGACCCCCGCACACACCCCCTGCAGCAGCCGCGATCCCCAAAATCCCTCCCGGACCCCCAAAATCCCAGCCCGGACGCCCAAAATCCCTCCCGGACCCCCAAAAACCGCTGCTGGATCACCAAAATCTGCTCCTGGATCACCAAAATCCCACCCCGGACCCCCAAAATCCGCTCCTGGATCACCAAAATCCCTCACGGACCCCCAAAATCCCAGCCCGAACCCCCAAAATCCCAGCCCGGACCCCCAGAATCTCACCCCGGACCCCCAGAATCTCACCCCGGACCCCCAAAATCCGCTCCTGGATCACCAAAATCCCACCCCGGACCCCCAAAATCCGCTCCTGGATCACCAAAATCCCTCACGGACCCCCAAAATCCCAGCCCGAACCCCCAAAATCCCAGCCCGGACCCCCAAAATCCCAGCTCGGACCCCCAAAATCCGCTCCTGGATCACCAAAATCCCAGCCCGGACCCCCAAAATCCCTCACGGACCCCCAAAATCCGCTCCTGGATCACCAAAATCCCTCCCGGACCCCCAAAATCCCTCACGGACCCCCAAAATCCGCTCCTGGATCACAAAAATCCCTCCCGGACCCCCAAAATCCGCTCCTGGATCACCAAAATCCCTCCCGGACCCCCAAAATCCCACCCCGGATCTCCAAGATCCCCCCCAAACCCCTCGGGGACCCTTTAAATCCCCCATAAATCCCCCCAACCCCCTCTCCAGCCTTCCCAAACCCCTGTCCAACCCCCCCAAACCCCTCGGGGACCCCCCCAGACCCTTCGGGGACCCCCCCAAATCCCCCATGAATCCCCCCAAACCCCTCGAGGACCCCCCCAGACCCCTCAGGGACCCCCCCAGACCCCTCGGGGACCCCCCCTCACCGGCAGGGAGTGCCCCTGGTTGGCTCTGACCCTCAGGGGGTTCGGCCGGAGGGCGAAGCGACCTTTGGGGTCAGTGGCGACCACCCGGCGCAGGTCCCCCTCCGAGACCCCCGCGAAGCGTCGCAGCCGCAGCAGAGCCCCCACCTCGACAAAACCGTCTGCCCCCCAAAAAAAATCCCCCCAGACCCCCGTCAGGGCCTTCGGGGGGTCCCAAAGGGTATTTGGGGCATCCCAGGGGACGTTCTGGGGGTCACAAAAGACATTTGGGGACCCCCCAAAAAGTATTTGGGGTGTCCCAGGGGTCCCAAAAGGTATTTGGGGTGTCCCAGGGGATGTTTTGGGAATTTTGGGGTGTCCCACAGGATTTTGTGGGGGGGTTTGGGTGGGTTTTGAGGGAATTTTGTGAGATTTTGGGGTGGGTTTGGGGGGTGATTGTGGGGTGGGTTTTGGGGGGATTTTGTGTGATTTTGGGATGGGTTTGAGGTGGGTTTTGGGGAGGATTTTGTAGGGGGCTTTAGAGAAGATTTGGTGGAGCGTTGGGGAGGTTTTCAGGGGATTTGGAGGAGATTTTGTGGGGGGGGTTGGGGTGAGTTTTGAGGGGAATTTGTGTGATTTTGGGATGGGTTTGGGGGAGATTTGGGGTGTGTTTTGGGCTCTCACGCACCCGGGCCCATGGGCAGCCCCTCGGCCGCAGCCCCGTGGCGCAGGACGTAGCTCAGGGCCTTGGACAGCCGCACCCCGGGGTCCTGGGGGGCCCAAGGGTGACCCCAACCCCCCCAGTGGGGGACCCCAACCCCCCCCCAGGTGACCCAAACCCACCCCTGGGCACCACCCACAGCCCCCCACCCCCATGGGCGACCCCCAATCTTAGACCCCCTCCCCAAATTAAGCTCCAAATGTCCCCCCCCTTCAGCAACCCCCAATACCTGGACCCCCCAAAGCCCCCCCCGCCCATTTCTGTGCCCTCCACGTGTCCCCCCCCCCACTTTGATGTCCCCCCCCTATCCCTGGGGTCCCCCCCTTGGGCCCCCCCCTCCCGCTCGATGTCCTTGTCCTCTCCCCTCCCGGAATTCGTGCCCCCCCCTCATTTTTGGGGTTCTTCCCCCCCCTCCCCTCTCCTTGGGGTGTTCCCCCCCACTCCTTGGGGTGTCCCCCCGATCTGTCTTGTCCTTGTCACCCCTTCCCCAAGAATCCCCCTATCCCCGCCTCCCCCCACCGTGTCCCCAATACTCGTGGAGCGTCCCCCACCCCAATTTTGGGGTCCCCCACCCCAATTTTGGGGTCCCCCACCCCAATTTTGGGGTCCCCCCCACCTCCTCTTTCCGCCGCCGCCGCCGCTGGGCGGCGCCCGCGCCCTCCCCGCCCGCCATGTTGGGACACGTGACCCCGCGCGCCGCCCGGCCCCGCCCCCGCTTGGCCCCGCCCCCGCCACGTGCCCGCCCGGTCACGTGTCCCCCTCACGGCTTCCCGCCTCCGCCGCCGCCTCACGGTGCCCTCACGGAGCCCTCACGGCTTTGGGGGTTTTTATTACCGATCCCCTCCGCACAAAATAACAACAACCGGCATTTTACCCACCCCCAGTTCCCCTCACCCAGCCCTCAGTCGAGTTTCCGCGCCCCCAGTTTCTGAGGGCCCCGGGGAGCCGCCCGGCGCTTGGCCTCGAGCTGGCGGCGCCGCTGCTGCTCCCGCTGCCGCCGGCCCGGGGGCGGCCCTGAGGGGACAGAGAGGTCAGCGGGGGGACAAAATGGGGGTCGGGGGGGACAGCGAGGTCAGCGGGGGGACAAAATGGGGGTCAGGGGGGACAGCGAGGTCACCGGGGGAACAAAATGGGGGTCAGGGGGGACAGCGAGGTCACCGGGGGGACAAAATGGGGGTCAGGAAGGACAGCGAGGTCACCTGGGGGACAAAAAGGGGGTCGGGGGGGACAGCGAGGTCACCGGGGGGAAAGGGGAAATGGGTCAGGGGGATCGGGGGGCGGGGGGGACACGGAGAGGGCGGTTGGGAGGATGAGGACCTGGGGGGGTGTCGGGGGGGGAATGGGGGTTCAGGGGGATCACGGGGGGGTCCCAAAGATATTGGGGAGGGGTCTCAGGAGACTGGGGTATTGAGGGGAGTCCTGGGGAGGGATCCCAAGGGGTTTATTTGGGGTCCTGGGGGGTGGGGGAGAACCCCAGGCAGGCCTTGGGGGTCTCAGGGTGGGTCTGGGGGTGTCCTGGGGGGAGTCTGGGGGTCCTGAGGGGTCTAGGTGGTCCCGGGGAGGGACTTGGGGTGTCCTAGAGGGGGGTCAGGAGGTCCTGGGGGGGGTCTGGGGGGTTCTGAGGGAGTCCTGGGTGGGTCTGGGGGTGTCATGGGGGGGTTTTGGGGAGGGGTCTCACCGTGCTGGCTGGGCAGCGCCTCCCAGGCGTCCTCAGTGCCCCACTCGCCCCCCACCCCCCAGCCCCCCTCGTCACCCCCCCCGGCTGGGGGAGGGGTGCTGGGGGGGGGCTCCGTGGGGCTGGGGGGCTGCGGGGGGGTCCCCATTTCCTC